GTTGAAGACATGGTTTACTCTTACAGAGGAAAGTCCCAGTGGATTTGTGCAAAGGGCTGCAGGCAATGTTCTCCTAAACTTTCCCTACACTCTTGACACTGTGCATATATTATTGCCTGAAGTACAAAAGTCATACAATGAGCTGGAAAAAAAAAACAACTTCCTTAAAGAGACCTGAAATCCCTCAGTGTGTGAGGACAGAGACAAACTAACCGGGAAACAAAAGACCATGAACACAAAGCTGTTATGAATGCGTTGCTGTTAGAGACACTGGCTGGAGGACGATGATAGTAACAAAAGAGATTACGAGCCATATGCAGCATGTCTGCGCCAGGTTGGTTGGCTGGAGAGTCCAATAAGCGGCCTAAATGAGGCCTTGACACCAGCCAGGAAACAATTCCAGACTTTTTTTTTTCGCTGGCAGTGCTGATGTAGTGAGGTCAGCCAATACACTACCATGGGACTGTTTACAGCTATGACACTGGACTGAGATTGGAGTCGTGACACGGCCCTGAAACAGCCCTTATCCTCCTTGGACCACACTAACAAAATACCTCACTGTATTACTGTACTGGTAGGTGAGAGAGGGGACACCTTGTTCAAAATGATTAGAGGCAAGGTGTCCCACTTAAGACCGTCTACATCTAATGGTCATTCTATTATAAAGTTTTATTACTAAGTGTTTTGCTATGCTTTGTTTTCATGTGTTACTTCACTGTGTCCTGTGGTTGACCATTGATTAGTAGAGTTAGGGTTGTACAGTCATTTTAGACATACTAATTAAGATGATCTACACTTAGACTCGTAATTCCCCGTGAGCAAAAGAACTAAAAAAAGATTAGCCTGAATTTTATCATTACTCAGAACCGTTGTCGCCCATGACTATCTGTCGGATCCTTTATGAGGCCTCTGTAAAATTCAAATAAGTTAATAAAACTTTTTAATTTTCCCCCCATTTACCTAATTTGCATTTTCAAGTGTTTTACACTTATTCCCCACAGTAACACAACTCTACGTGTCTTAATTAAGATGAATTGAGATTAATGTGCATTTATTCCCTCATTTTATTCTCATTAATATTACACAATTTTAAGGCACATGATTCCTTATGAGCTATAAACATTTTGTGGCTAGAGGTGCCTCAAATAACTTCTGGCAACCTCGAACCAAAACATTAACAAACACAGCATTACCCAGTGGGTAAATGAAAAATGCAAATAAGCATGGTGCATGAGACGTTGACTAAAGTCTATATCTTCATTTGGAAGCTTTAGTTTGTGGTATGGTTGAGTTGTATAGAATTATACTGGGGGGTATTTTCAATTATTATTGCACCAACATTTATTCAGGCTCTTGTGATATGATCAGTAGCAGTGGAAAAGCTTCCAACTGTAACTGGCTAACTAGCAGGACCCAGATTGTCTTTAAAACTCACTCTCTCCCTGCGTAAGCCGCTCTGTGATGCTCCAGCCGGTAACGCTTAGAGGAGCAGGTGGTCACAGCAGACAGTGAGCTGAGCCACGCTTGAAGACTCACCCACCGCCTTGCTTGCCCCCCGCCCCACCCTTCCTCTGCCCTTTATCTTTCCCATCATCCTTTTTCTTGAAACAATTCATCCAACCATTCATCCTCTCAGACTCGGCTTTATTTCTCCATCACTTCCTGCCTACTTTCTTCTTCTTCTTCTTCTCTCTCACACCCTCCATCTGCATGTCCCCACAGATAGTGGCAGCCAAAGAGTCTGACATCCACCAGATGTACAACACTGGTTCCCCTCCTCACGCTCCGTTGTTCCTGCTGCACATTCACTCACAGACAACTAAACGCAGCTGAACGCACTTAAGAAGTCACAGCGATTTAATGATCACTGTCCTTGTGGGTTTGTGTGAGTGTGTGTGTACATATGGGTAGGGGAGAGGAAGCGAGAGGAGATTTCCTACAGCAGAGACAGGCTCTGCACAGCCTATCAACAGAGTGAAAGGCAGGCTGACATGCAGGCCATCACTCTGACTGCCTGATGGGTTGCAGAGAAATGTATAAAGCAGTAAAAACCAATGATGCCCCTACACAATCCAATCTGTATTAAAACCAAAACACCAAATATTGCCACCAGGATTTCATTAAGTTTATTGGCTTTCTCTTAATCCCTCCCTAAACAGATTAAAAATGACTTAACATCTGCTCTGGTTGAACTGTGACAGCATTGGGAATAAAACTACACAACACAAAAAGATACCTGCAGTGAGTATGACATGACTAAATCCTCTATGATTACCTTAAACACGAGGATTAGTTTCCACAGGTAAAAACACAATCCTCCCATAAGTCTAAGTGACAGCACTACACTTAGTGGGCAGAAGGACAGGAGTGAGATGCTGTAAAACAAGAACGAGGTGATTTCTCCATTCACTGGTGAAGAAAATGGCTATTCCATTCTCTCTTAGTCAACTTGAAAATTGTGGGCCTCTTGTCTGATTCCTGGAGTTTCCTCCAGGGAAACTTTGTGGGACTCACTTGTGGAAGCAAATTTCAAGTTTCATTTGTGTATCCTATGAGACTTTTTTTTTTTTTTTACAAGAACAGAGGTCAGCTTTGGTCTGGAGAGAAGGTATAAACCAGGGACAGGGGATCATCTAAAAATATGGTTCTCCTTTTCTCTGCACAGTTTATTGAAGGCTCTTTGTTTGCTGTTCTTACCAATTTTCACTGAAAAATACCCAGATTAAAAAAAAAACATAAGCAAATCACACAGATTTTGTCTCCAGTTGATCTCATTTGCAAGTTTGTATCATCTAAATAAACACAGCTGTGGCATCTTATTTATTTAAATAAACAACAAATACTGAGCCTTATGTATATGCTGATATACATTCATCAGGATGGAGAGGCAGGGAGAATAAAGACTTAATGACGTACATGATAAACCAAACAGGACACAAGTCATTAGGCTTTTTCCATACAGGAATTAACAACCTGTGACCTAATGTGTAGCCATTGTCACGGTTTGTAAATTGGTTTCTACTGTACCTGGACTCCTGTTCTATTTTTTCCAATAATTTAGTGGGGCAGAGCGAGTAACCGCAGCGTATCGCTACATTTTACTTTCACTATGAAAAACAAATTCACTGTATCCCACAGTCTGTTCTCCACCAAGTGAACAACTATCAGTTACTGACAGATAAAAGTTCAAATTCCCCTGCCACTCAATAGTAAATGGTTATTTTGTCTGAACTCTACCAGGCACTTTTTTATTTTACCGGCATTTGGCTGGTGGCTTGTGCTAATTTCCCAGCCTGCCCAGGAGAGTACGGAAGTATGGCAGGGCGGCAAACGACCTGTCCTGACAGATGTGACGGGCTTTGGCGTCAACGGGGCAGGAGCTGGTCTGGTGACGGTACAGTTCACTCTGTGCTGTATTCTATACACCCGCCCTCTCCAGGTCCTACTGCTCCTACTATCTTCTAGTAATTTATTGATAATCAGGTTGAAAAGTAATCACATGTAAATGTGAAACAAAATCATTATTAGTGCCACTTTTTACATTACTAACTGGCCCACAACTGAACTGCCTACCAAACATAAGCACATACAAATTACTATGTTTGTCCTGGTTTGTAAAGCAGAGTAGAAACATAAGGCAGAACCTAAAACCAAAGCCTTCCAGGTTCGTAAAAGTTCAGGATATGGGAAGCAATTTCAGAACTGATGGGACTACTACAAAGCTGATGTGTTAGTCTTACAGCCTCAAGTTATATGTTTTTGTATTACATTGCAGATTACACTTGAGACTTTTTGGTGTATAGCTTTTGACATGTATGATGAAAAATACCAAATGTGCCAAAGGCGTGTGGGTCCTCAGAGGGCCTCATGTAATTAAATGTGCAGAATTGCAGCCAACGGCCCCCCCAAAAGTGCTGATACTCCAAAGGATTTGTCATTTCAGCACTGGTTGTTCTTTGTTCCATTTTAGTTTGTACGTCAACCAGGACTCATTGGAGTCTTGTTTTATACCTAGCATTCTCCTACACATTAATAACACTGTAGGGAAAAACTGAAAGTCCGTAGTGCAGGAAAAGGCTAGAAAATAAAAGAAGGTGGAGGCAATTTAGTTGCCATGAATCAATGGCACATGGCAAAATGCGTAGTCGAGAATGTGAAGTACAGGGCACACAGTGGTCTGGGGGGGTGGTTGGTTTTATAGCTGTGTTCACTTACATCTTCAGGGTCAATAAATACCTACATGGAAACATGCAGAGAAGCTAAATGTATTAGCCCTGACTATAATTTACAGTAGGCTTAGTGTCGGCTTGAAAAAAGACAATTTAATAGGGAAAACGCTTGCTTTCACAGTGTCTTTAAACCATGTTGTTTCATCATACTGCAGAAGGGCCTCAGACGGTCACTTCATCATCACGCTGCCATGATACAGAAAACTTTTTATACAAGAATAGTTTTGGCCCATCAGTGAAATTAGACATTTTTACAGCTTAACAAAGAACTGAACTTGCAATCATTAATCTATGAATCATGTGCAGAGTTCAGAGAACGCTCAGCCTAAGGCAATGAAAGGGGACACTTCTAAATTCTAAGATAAGACTTAAGCAGGAATTCTGCTTTGTTATTGAGGGTAGTTTATGATACATCCTGGTGCAGAAATGCCACTTTAACCCAACAGTGAGAAACAGAAGAAGCCAGTCAAACCTTGATCTCCCGGTGTCACATGGTCATCAGTTTATACCTTAAATCTACCTGCCTCCAATTAACTAATTTTCTTTCCACACAAACCCTAAAAATGTTTAGCAGGTGACACAAACACATCACACTATGAAATATGCTGTTAAAAAAGTAGGAGGTTTAAAAATAAGGTTTTTAAAATATACATAGCTTAAATGCAAATATTTGACTGATGACTGATGAGTATGCTGTGTGCTCTGAAGAAACCCAAAGCATTTTACATTTGTTTCTCATGGTTAGACATTGTTTAAACATCACTGACTCACCAGCGGTGAAGTCCTTGTTGAGGTCAATGAAAGCGTTAGAGTGAGGCTTGCGCATCTTGACAGATGAACTCAGTGCACTCTCACACGATGGAATCCTAAAGGGAAGAAAAACCACCAGACAACAGCAGGAGTTAAAAGCTCTGCATTGTAGAAAGTAACTCAAGGTATGAGAGCAGTAGAAATGAAGTGAGCTTTTCAAATGATTACATTACCTGCCGGTGAAATTGCAGACTTCAATGGATAAGGAGCTGTTGACTCCAAGAATGTCTGGGATCATGTCCCCGTTGAAACTGTGGGATGATTTTTTCTCATTAAAATTCACTTTATTAAAACGTACACAGTTTGTTAGGTATACTAATAAATACCTATACAAACTAATACTGCAGCCTTACAATAAACACATATAATGTTCACCTTTTATTGACACTATCAGAGAGGTGCAGGTCATGTTTAAAGGCCATAGTAAGTGGTGGTATTGTTCTGTTTTCATTACTTTGCATTACAAGCAAAATATCCAAAGCAGAGTTTATCTTAGCACCATTCAGGCTGATACTTACTCCATAACAAGAGGCTGATCTGCAAAGGTCTTGTTCAGCATGAGCCACCCACTCATATCTGCAGAAAATGAAGAGTTGCAACAGGCCCTGAGTAATGCTTGGTCTCACAGAAAAACAGAAAGTCAGTGGGCTGGCCAAACACTTCACTTGGTTCTAATGTCAACAGCTATGAACTAAGTTAAATTCAATATTCAGCTGGGCAGAAAGCTGCTAAAAAAAGGCCTTAAATCGAAAAGGTACAAACTGGCAACAACACAATATATTCATATAAAACCCTGGCTGATACATTTCTACTCAGGTGATTCAGATTCTAGTTTTGGTCTTAGTATATGTTTTAGTAGTAGGTGTTTTAATTGCATTTTGTTAGTTAACAGAAACAAATAACATAATCAATAATTTGTTATGTCCTTTGAGGTTGAAACTGTACTTAACTCAAAGAAACTTAAATTTACAATACTATATATATATATACACACAC